TTTTACTGGATGTGGTACATCATCTTTGTTTAATTTTGAGGGATCTTGCTTTTTTGCATACATTTTATAAATTCAGCATTGTTTTTATTCCAACAGACTATGTTTCATAAATGTTAAGTGCTGTCCAGTCTGTTGTGACTCATACTGACCATCTATAGGGTTTATAAAGCTTTAAATCTTTGTGGGAACAGAAAGGCTCATGTTTCTCCCATGGAGCAACTAATGGGTTTGAACCACTGACCTTGTGGCTTGCAGTCCAGTGCATATCCTCTGGAGCCACTGGGCTCCCTATGTTATATATGCTGTTGCTGTTCAATGCTGTTGAATCAGTACTAACTTCTAGTGGCCTTATGCACAACAGAATGAAACACTGTCCGGTCTTGCACCTACTCACAGTCATTGCCACATTTCAGCCCATTGCTGTTGCCACTCTGCTAGTCTATCATGTTGGGGGTTTTCTATTCTTCGCTGACTCTCTACTTTATCAAACATAACATCCTTTTCCAGAGACTGGTCTCTATTGGTAATATGTTGAAGTATGAGATCTGGCTTGAACCTCTGGCATTTCCCTGGCAATATACTGTTGCAGTCGTTTTTGAATTATCTACATTTCGTTGGGTTACCTGTCTTTGGAACGAGCACAGATATGGATCTCTTCCAATCAGGTAGCTGTTTTCCAAATATCTTGGCAAGATGAGTGAGTGCCTCCAGTGCTGTGTCAGTTTGTTGAAAGATTTCTCTTTGTATTCTATCAGTTCACTGTCTTGTTTTTGCCAATGCCTTAAGTGCAACTTGCACTGCTTCAGTATCATTGGCTCTTGATTATATACTATCTCTTGAAATGATTGAACATCGACCATTCTTTTTGGTATGGTGACTATGTATTCCTTCCATCTTCTTTGGAAGCTTTCTGCATCATTCAGTGTTTTGCTATTGTTAAGTGCCGTCAAATTGATGCTGACTCATAGTGACCCTTTATAGGGTTCCAAGTAGCAGCTGGTGAGTTTGAGGTGCCAGTCTTGTGGTTCAAAACGACCTTGCAGTCCAGTGCTTTATCCCACAGCACCACACCAGTACTCCATTTTTCCATTGTTGTGAAGTGCCATTGAGTCGGTTCGGATCCATAGCGACCAGAATCCTTCACTATCGAAAATGGAAGTTTGAATTTTTTTCTTCAGTTCCCTCAGCTAGAAACATGCTGACTGTGTTCTTCATAATGGGTTTTCTAACTCCACGTCTTCGCACATTTCATTATAATATTTGGCTTTCTCTTCTTGAACTGTCCTTTGAAAATTTCTATTCAGTTCTTTTCCTCATTTATTTCATTTGCTTTAGCATCTCTATGCCAGAGAACACATTTCAGAGCCTCTTCTGACACCCATTTTGGTCTTTTCCTTCTTTCTTGTCTTAATGACCATTTGCTTTCTTTCTGTATATTATTCTTGATACCATCCCACAACTCTTCTGTCTTCAGTAATTAGTGTGTAATGCATCAAATCTGTTCTTGAGATCATATCTAAATTCATGTGGGATATGTTCAAGGTCATGTTTTGGCTCTTATAGACTTGTTTTCATTTTCTTCAGTGTTAGCCTGAACTTGTATATGAGCAACTGATTGTCTGTTCCACAGCCTGCCCATGCTCATCTCCCTCCACAGATGTAGTCAGTTTATTTCTGTGTATTCCATCTGGTGAGGTTCATGTGTATAGTCGTCTTTTATGTTGTTTAAGAAAGATATTTGCAAAGAAGAAGTCACTGGTCTTATAAAATTCTATCATGTGCTCTCCAGCATTATTTCTATCACCAAGCCCATATTCTCCATCACTAATCCTACCTCTTTGTTTCCAACCTTTGCATTTCAATCACCAGTAATTATCAATATATCTTGATTGTATGCTTGATCAATTTCAGACTGAAGAAGTTGGTAGAATTCTTCTATTTCATGTCACTAGCTTTAGTGGTTAGTATGTAAGTTTGAATAATAGTTGTATTAACTGGTCTTGTAGATGTATGGATATTATCCTATTACAGACAGATCTTGAAATGTTCTCTTTGATGATGAATATAACACCATTCGTCTTCAATTTACCCTTCCCGGCATAGTAAACCATGTGATTGTCAGATGCAAAATAGCCATTACCAGTCCATTTCAGCTCACTAATACCTAGGATAGCGATGTTTATGCTTTCCATCTCATTTTTGACAACTTCCAATTTTCCTAGATTCATGCTTTGCACATTCCATGTTCTGATTATTAATGGATATTTATAGCTGTTTCTCCTCATTTTGAGTAGTGGCCCATCAGCAAATGAAGGCCCTGAAGGCTTTACTCCATTCGTATCGTCACTACTTGGAGTCAACTGTACTTTGAGGAGTCAGCTCTTCCCTAATCATGTTTTGAGTGCTATCCAACCTGAGGGCTCATCTTTCAGCACTATATCTGACATTATTCTGGTGTTAACAGTGTTCCACTGCTATTCATGAGGTTTTCCGTGACTAAATATTCAGAAGTAGTCAGTCTCTCCTTCTTCCTAGTCTGTCTTTGTCTGAAAGCTCATCTGAAACCTGTCTACTGTGAGTTATCCTGCTGTTATTTACAATACCAGTGACATAACTTCCAGAATAACATCCTGTATGTATGTATTTGTTGTTAGTGCCACCAGTGGGGTTTTCCAGGAGCAGCTCTTGTGTTTTAACCTCAAGCATTGTGATTTGCAGTCCAGTGCTTTTGCTATAGCATCACACTATATATATATGTTGAGTCCTGGTATGGTTCTCTAGAGTAAGCACTGGACTAGACCACAAGGTCAGTTTGAAATGCAAAGTCAGCATTTCAGACTTACCAGCTGCTTCTTGGAAACCACATAATATGATTTCTGTGAGTCAGAACTTACTCTATGGCTCTTAACACAACAATAGCAATATCTATATGCTTATGTTTATATGTAGAGAGAGAGGAATTCCATGTGTTGTTGTTTTTAATTAGATATTAAAATTTTTGTTTTAATTGAGGAATAGCTGTTGTAAAACAAGTATATCAATCTCAGTAATTATTTTTTCATGGGAATACCCTGTGTAGACTACCCAGATCAAGATACAGAAATGTGTCAGTACTTAGTAAGCTCCCTTCTCGCCAGTATCCTCACCTCCATCACCTATGCTTTCATGCCTGTGTAACCACTTATCTCACTTCAGTGGCTTGTTTTGCCTGGTTTTGAATTTCATGTAAACAGATTCACTCACTATATACTCTTGTATCTGACATATTTCATGAAATCTTCATCAGTTGAATATATTCAGGTAGTTGTGTCTATATTTTGTGTGTGTGTGTTTGTTTTTTGTTTTGTGTTTTTTTTTTGCTATGTAGTGTTTCATTGTATGTGACAATTTATTTCCTTATATACCCATTTGCATTGAATGAGCTGATTCTAGCTCATAGTGACCCTGTGCAACACTTTACTTTCCCTATTCTACTGCTGATGGCTACTTGAGTGATTTTAGTTTTGGGTTCCTACTAATAATGAACATTCTTCTACATGTCTTGTAATGGACATAAATCACTCATTTCTTTGGGGTGTATACTCAGAAGCAGAAATACTTTGTCCAAGAATTTGTGTGTTGTTTGTCCTTGGTGGTGCTGCTGGTGTGCCCTGGACTTGGTTTCAACTCAGCAACCCTGCACATGGTTTCCAAGGCTGTAAATTTTTATGGGAGCAGAAAGCCTCATCTTTTTACTGCAGAGCGACTGGCATTTTCAAACTGCTGAGCTTGAGGTTAGCAGCCCGACTTGTAACCACTATATTACCAGAGCTCCTGTTGGTATGTACTGCCAAAAACTATATATTTAAAAAATATATTTGTACCTTGATAACCTATGATCTTTCAGAACATTCTGATTGCTGTAATTAGTCTTTTAAAAAAACATTTCAAAGGGGTATAATAGGGAGATACAATTCAATTTTGGCACTGATCCATAGAGTGGTGCTATGTAGAAAATATTGCTGCTTTTCATTTATTAGTTCATTAATAGGAACTAGGCTTCTGCTTTGTATGTAGACTAATACCAGCCTCTATGGGAGAAAAGAATGAAGTATAAGATACAGCCAGCCCTGCTAAAGAAGCTTTATAGTTAAGTCAGAGGGACAAGAGTATGAAAAGATAAGCATTATAGGGCAGTATGTAAGTAGGAAATGATTTGTATGGATAATATGTGCTCTGGGATGGAGAAGAACAGTCACTGGACTGCAATGATTAGAAAAGGCTTTCTGGAAGAGTCAAGACTTCAGCTGAGCCTTGGTGACAGGGTAGAATTGAATTAAAAGGGATGGATCAGCATGAGCAGTTATAAAAAGGTGAGAAAAGCCTGTTGGGTAATCACATTGGCCTGGCAAAAATGAAAATTTGGGGTTGAAGATCTTGGGAAGATAGTTTTGTTGTTGATGGTAGACGCTGTTAAATTGGTTGCAATTCATAGAGACCCAACAGAATGAAATGCTACCTGGTCCTATGCCATCCTCCAAAGTTAGTTGGAAAAGTAGAACTTGAAGACCAATGTGTAGCCAAAGTCCTTATATTCTTTATGATCTCTAAGCTTTGATTTTCCCTGCAATCAAAGCATCAGAATTGCTATATTTTGGTTTTCCTATTCCATTGTTCTCTGGGAAATAAACTGGGCCAGGCCAACATGGGAAAAAAAAAAAATTACTGGACTTTAGAGAGAAAGTAACACCCTCAAGAGCTTCTGTATCAGACTGTATTGAAGGAGAAATGCCACAAATAGCATTTAGTGGCGCTATTAAGGATAGCATTCTAATTTTTGACTAGGGAAACAATTCATTACCTACCTACTTTGAAAAGACTTTGAGGTGATTTTCCATAGAGGTGGTAGCATATCATGCTGAATTGGGCTTCTGACAGTCTTTTATATTCCTAAGATCCTATTCTACAAATTGTTGAAAAATCATATTACAAGCATTTTTTTTTTCTGTCTTCCACATTAGTATCTTCAGATAATAAGAAAAAGACACCTAATGAAGCTACTGCTAGAAATGAAAGAGACTCATCAGACATAGCACAGAATCAGTCATTGCAAGATCATTATAGAATGTACTCACCCATGATATACCAAGCCCTCTGTGAGCATGTGCAGACTCAGATGTCACTGATGAATGACTTGGCTTCAAAGAACAGCCATAATGGAATTCCTGTTATACCTACCCTCACAGTTTCTGGTTCTGGTCAGTATGAATAATGTTTTTAAAAGCATGAATATAAGCTCTAATTAAATTGCTTGGTTAATGTATGAGATCTGAGTGAATTTCTCTCCCTCTTACCTTTTAGAATCTCAGGCAACTCCACTTTCCAGTTATGGCTTATCTACCTCCACCCCAGTCTTGTCACCTCAGCAGCCAGCCTGCCCACCAGTGGTTCATTCTGTGGGTACAGTTTTTATACTATATAAGGAATTACTGGTTTGTAAAAACCGTCATCTTAGTAAGGAACATTGAATATACTACTATATCTTAATGCAATAGGATTTTTGTGTTTTTCAAGCTTATTAGAAAATAACTGTTTATTAAGGTAGGATAGAAAGCAGAAGAGCGTAATAGCAGGAGGTGTGGTGGGACAAGGGTGGAGATCAGTAGAAAGAAGAAATCACGCACCCACCCCCACTCCCCAAGTACCATTTCTATATACACATTGATAGTGTGCTTTCCAATCATTAAATTAT